AACAGTTAGCGTGTTTTGCTCAAACTTTCGCCATGGCATTAGAGCTGGTACACCGTTGTCGCTTGCGAAATCAAAATGACAGCACCGTGGGTGGAAACTTACAGATTAAGGGGCGGTAATATTATAATGAGATCCCTTTGCTACATCACCAAGGGAGCGAAATCAGATGTGCATGTTTTTTTCAGATGCTTGCAGAAAAAGGCTTACCAAAACAAAGTTACTGGGTTAATCTTTTTCACCTTTCCTTGGTTGGTAGATGCACCGGGGACCGATTTTCATGATATGTCACCTTTAAAATTATTTAAAAAAATGCTGATTGCCAAACCATTAGTAACATATAAACATTTACACACATATTTAAAATTTACAAATATCTATAATTTAACAAATAAAAAAAAAGAATTATAGAAATAAAGGCAGTGGTTTATGTTATATTATTTATAACATTGTTTCTGCATGTTGATGCACAGTGTTGATATTATTTTCCAGTCAGTTAGCTGTAGCGACTTCTGCCTCACTAGTGTCACCAAACGGAATTGCAAGAATATGACTGTTTCCGAACATACTTCCCAGACATGTTTTCTAAACATCCTCCCCTTCTGCTATTGGTCGGACAAATACTCACGCCATTGGCAAAGAGTTTCCTCCTAATTTTCTGATTGGATGACTAGTGCGGGCCGCGGTTAGACTTTTTCTGTCTTTTTTTCTGTTTACAAACCCTTAGGGCTGTTACAGAGCTAAGTAACATATATGTTACAGACATTTTTTGAATTCCACTCTAAAAATTACAGCATATTTAAGAAAAGAAGCAACCATATATATTTTTTTCTTCTTGTGCAATACTTAACCAGCTATTGAAGGGTGAAACCGAAACCAAATTATAATGTTGTCTTTTATAATAAAAAAGCTAATTGCAAGAGATTTTCCAAAATAAGTCAAAACTGCTAAATACATCAACACAAGAAGAACAGGCTACAAAGTTGTAATTCTAAATCTCCATCCCAACCAGGCGTTTAAAAACATTTAACTTCGAGAGTTTTGATCATCATAGCTGCACTACATAATACACGTCCTTACCGGATGTCTTTGCATTGGGACAAACATATTCCCAGGTATATAAAAAGCAAAGAAATCTGAACGAAATTCACAGACGATGTTGCCATAAGACATACGTATAATACAATAAAATAAAATAAGTTACTGTCCCGGTTACATCCGTTTTCTTCGATGAAAAGACTTTCATCTGTGCTGGTCATATGATGCGAATCACATGATCACGCCAACTGATCTTATCTGTCAATCATTTCTTCATTAACTGTAAGCGCAAATAACTATACAACATTTAATATATGTAGACTGCATTCAGTTGAAAATGTATTACATTTTAAGTGCCATAAAAGTAATATGGTTCACTCTGAAACGAAACTTAATTCGATTTACTGTGGAGCGGAACGTACTGTCAGAAGTGCTTGCTTACAGGGGAGATGTAATATGACGCACACGCAGGAGGAGGTACAGCTCAAGGATACCTAGATGCATGAGGTTTGCAATGGCATCCAGTATAAACATAAAAAATGGACTTTTAACCACCAAAAATTCTCTCCACATAAAGATTCCCTATCCCACATTTATACAGAGGCCAACAGAGATCAAATGCTCAAGAGCATTAACAACAGGACAGCACAATGAGCAGTACTGTATTGATATTGTAAGGTAAGTTTTTATTTAAAAAATCGATTGACTTTTAGTAGTTTTACCTAGAAGCAAATAAATCTCCATTAAAACCGGGTAGACATGTATTTTTCTCTTGCTCTATGTCAAACTGAATATTAATAAATGACGTGACACTATTTTTTTTGAATAAAGTAAATTGCAGTATATACAACAATTATATTTTCTGTGGTTAACTTTCATGGTTAAAATGTATGTCAGTTGTTAAAATGAATGCTAGAAATGTCTAGGTGATGTATCTGTGTAGAAATTGAAAAAAAGAGAAATCTTACTAACAATCTGAAATGCAAAAAAAAAAAAAAGTCAACTTAAAAGATATATTCTGGGACTTTTTTTATTAATCAAAATATCGATCAAGTCATGTCATATGTATGACACATTAATTAAGTGTGCAAGGAAATCATTTTAGTACTTTTTATCTAATACTTCACATTATTAGACATTAAATAATTTGTAGGAAATGGTATAAAAAAAAATTCCAAAAATGTTTGAAACGAACATGAGTGAAGTATTAAGAACTTGGTAAATATATTTATGGCTAGATCTTTTTTTTTATCACTTTAGAAATCTTTATTTGTCATTGACCCTTATAAAGTAGTCTTTATGTAATCATTGTCATGCCTACAGAAATCTCAGTCTCTATTTAGGCTTAGTTTTTTAAATGTAGGTTAATGACACAGATCACACTGAGTGAATAACTCTGTACTGTCACCTATAGGAAAAGGGACTATGAGGGATTTTTGTGTTCATTGCTTTTTCCTGAGGCTGTTCGTCGATCTGCACTGGCACTGAGGGCGTTCAATGTAGAACTGGCACAGGCAGGTATTCCAGCTAATGTAACTCATTTATTCAGTTATTAACTTTTGTACAGATATAACTGTGTATCATAGTGTGAAAAACCAACTCTTGAGACATAAAAGTGCCTGTTGTTAAAGAAACACTCATATATGCTCATATATTTGCTGCTTCTTATTTTAGATTAAGGACTCTGTTTCTCAGAAAACCATTGGTTTAATGCGATTGCAGTTCTGGAAGAGCGCCGTGGAGGATATTTACAGAGATGACCATCCAGCCCAGCCCGTCAGTGCAGAACTGTGGAGGGTGAGTCTTCCTTCTATAAAAGAAAGATTCTGTCATCATTTACACTAGCATTCAAAAGTTTGGGGTCATTACGTTTTTTTTTTTCTTCTTCTTAAAGAAATTAATACTTTTTTCTGCAAGGACACATTGAATTGATCAAAATAGACAGTAAAGACATTTATAATGTTTCAAAAGATTTCTGTTACAAATTGTATTTCATGTTCATGGTGTATCAGTGTATCATGGTTTCCAAGAAATAAAAAATTAAGCAGCACAACTGTTGTCAACATTGATAATAATAAGAAATGTTTCATGAGCATATTAGAATGATTTCTGAAGGACCATGTGACACTAAAGACTGGAGTAATGGCTGCTGAAAATTCAGCTTTGTCATAACAAGAATAAATTACATTTTAAAATATGTTAATATTTCACAATATTACTGTTTTAGCTGTATTTATGATTGGTGAGCATAAGAGACTTCTTTCAAAACATTTTTAAAACATTCTATTAACCGCAAACTTGAGAACAGTAGTGAATGTCATTACTACATTTCAAACCTGTATGACTTTCTTTTTTCTGTACAACACATTTGTGAAAAATGTATCCATACAATGACAGTCAATGTCCAATGTAGTTTGGACCACAGCATTATTCAATATATTGGCCACTGATGTACTATAACTGCTCTGTGTTCTCAGGCAGTGAGGAAGCACACATTAACAAGGAGGTGGATGTTAAGAATTATATCTGAAAGAGTAAGTAAACAGATTTGTCCTAAAATTTGAGTAAAGAAAATAATGGAAAGTTCACTTTAAATAACTAAATTTAACTTAACAGCTATCCGTGAGACATACATGGCTAATTCTAGACATTGATAGTCATTCAGTGAGTCAACACATTATGCACATTATACTGTCCTCTGGCAATTGTATGTTTTCAAAAGGAGAAAGATATGGAGGACAAAGCATACAGGAATCTTCAAGAGCTGGAGGCCTATGGCGAAAACACACAATCCTCTCTTCTTTACCTGCTGCTGGAGACACTTGGTGAGCAGACTTTTCTTGATCTCCGACTTAAAACAATAGTTCTTGGAAAAAATAAAATTCTGTCATTTACACATCCTCATGTTGCACTTGACAGTATGAAATACTTTCCTCTGTGGAACACTGGAGATGTAAGGTAGAATATTAAGGCTTGACAGCCTCGGTCAATATTTACTTTCATTGTATAAGGAAAAAATGCAGGAAAATTTCAGTCACCTGAAGGATAACTGAATTCATTGCTTTAATTTTGAAAGGAACTAACAAAATTGTTATAGCTTAAAGGCTTATCATTTGTTGGTTTGCACTGTGGGTTTGCTAGTATAGGTTTAATGTGCAGTACACTACCATTCAAAGATTAGAGGTAAGACATTTGATGTTTTGGAAAGTCTTTTAGGCTCACCAAGGCTGCATTTATTTGAATAAAACTACAGTAAACCAGTTATATAATGACTTATTATTATAACTTAAATAGCTGTTTGTTATTTATTTTATTTATTTTTCATATATTTTAAAATGCATTTTATTTTATTTAGTTTTATTTTATAATTATGTTTATTTATTTATTTATTTTTGGCCATTGTGATAGCAAAGCTGTATTTTCAGCATCATTACTCCAGTCTTCAGTGTCACATGATCCTTCAGAAATCATTCTAATATGCTGATTTGCTGCTCAAGAAACATTTCACATTATTATCAATGTTGAAAACAGTCGTACTGCTTAATATTTTTTTGGAAACTGGGATAAATTCTTTTTAGGATTCTTTGATTAATAGAAAGTCCAAAAGAAACAGCATTTATTTAAAATAGAAATATTTTTTGATGTTATAAATGTCTTTACTTGACTTTTGATCGATTGAATGCATCCTTGTTTAATATATATATATATATATATATATATATATGATCCCAATCTTTTAAATGGTTGTGTATTTTGCATTGCCCTGTTCTTCAATAAATCAAAATCACAAAAAAGTCCACTGGTAATATGCTGCAGAAACTTAATATTAGACTAAGGGAATTTTTACTTATGAAACTATTATTTTATTGTTTTAAAGGTAGAATATTAAATTTTTCATGAAATGACCCATTAAAATATAATTTGAGAACTATTTAGTTTTTTTTTTAGCAAGACAGTATTGGAAATTCACTATTTTACGCAAATCTGTTTAAAGCTGGTCTCATAAAGTGGTATGCTTTGTGTATCTTTTTTAATGTAGGTGTGAAAAACATCCATGCAGACCATGCCGCAAGCCACATTGGCAAAGCCCAGGGCATCCTGACCTGCCTGCGGGCGACCCCATACAACAGCAGCAGACGCAAGGTCTACCTGCCCATGGACATCTGCATGCTGGTGGGTAAATCTGCTATCACCTTGTCATCTCTGTTGCTGCCTGTAATTCCATGCTTTTCTAACATCAGTGGGACTAGTGAAGGACTAGAGACAATCCATGTGCCAGTCAGCATATATGTGGGTGAAGCTGTCCACTCCAGTGCCCTCTCGTCTGCTAAGCCCAAACCCACGGGCTTTGTTTGAGCCATCTGTCGCCATTTCAGCACGAACGAGCCATTAGAATTGGGATTTAGAAGATCTTGCCCTTTAGTGTAACAGAAGAAAAGAATATCATCTGTCGTTTACCCTCAACTAATCTCAGCTAGAGTCACTGTACAGTATTAAGATCAAATCATGTAATGTAGATTGTTTTGCAGTAGGATTGCACATTCACCAAAAGGGGGCACTGTTGTTTCACCATAAACGATATGGACATATTTGGTTTCTGAAGTTTTCAAATGCCCACTAAAACATAATACATTTTAAATAAATATTTATAAATATTATTTGTAGGTTTGTTAGACTTTTGCTACTTCATAGCTAATTATTTGATCCTTACTAATTGTCTTTCCTTATCATTTAAAGTTAACTTAATGAAACTTCCTTTCTTGAGACAATAATGTACGGATAAGCTTTTAAACCTGTAATTGATGTCTTTAATAATGCACTGGATTATGTTGAATTAAAAGAGACACCTTTAAAACTTTTGTTTATCTACATTGCAGTCATTTAGAGAATATTTGCTGTGGGAATTGTATACAATATTAATGTGCACCCTGTCAAGCTTAGCCAAATCTGTTTGCATAACAATGCAAGGTGTATGTGTGTTTTATTTGTTAGGTAGACTGTAAATACAAGCCTCTGGGTGTCTGCAAGCCATTTTTGTCACAGTTTAAGGTTCTTAAACCTTACAGTTCACACCTTCACAGTTTAAGGCTCTGTTTGATATGAAACCCCCTGTTCACGAATCAGAACAGATCAATGATAGCCTCCCGACAATTACACTGTCTGGTTATTCATGATGTTGATTGTCTTGTCAATGCTTTATCCTTACATACTGCTTTTGTTTGAGGAACAATTGGCTTTTAAATTAGATACTAAATGAAAGCTTCTGCAGTATGTGTTTATTGATCACTTGTTATTGTGGATTTATTCATGTTTGTTCAGATAACAGTTGAGGCAGCGCAATCACAGGCGACACTTGAGTGATGGAATTATTTTCTTGTTTATGTCATTGTTTGAATCAGTAGTTTCACAAATACAACTAAACGTGATTTCAGTAATATTTCATCTGAAGAAGTCTTGGGATGCCGAGACGTAAACACATCACCTCACGTTCTGCATGCAGATTTTCACATTTTCATCCAGCATACTAATTTGTTCTGGTGTTCAAGTATTTTTGTTGATTGCTGGAAAATCTATAAAGATGAGTCTCATGAAAACTGTCAAGAAATGCCTGGGTCGTATTTCACCCCAAAATCCAAAGAAAATGTTGTGAAATTATGCCTATATTTAAGACCATGTGTCATGAACTACTCCGAGACACGAATGCTGAGGATCCAAATGCAGTGTTTATTCAGAGGGTAATCCACAATCGTGATCCAAACATAATCAAAAGTCATATACCAGCAAAACAGTACAAACAAAAACAAGAGAAACAGACAGAGAGTAATCCAGAACAATGGGCAGAATAATCCAAGACGCATGAAAACAGGAGATAACGGCTCAGAAATGCAGTACATAACACATGCAAGACTTCACAATGAATGATTAAATGATCCAGGCTATATATAGGGTGAGCAGACAGGGTTAAGGAGACACAGGTGATACAACAATGAGTGCTGATGAGTCCGGGCAAAGGATTATGGGAAATGAAGTCCAAGACAGCGGTATGGGATGGAGTGCCCTCTGGTGGTTCTCAAGGGCACTCCAGCTGGTGATCATGACACCATGACAGTATTGTGACATTATTTTCATGAATCTAGCACATCCACCCTCTCCCAATTTTCAGTAGCCCACAGTAAATCAAATAAATTAAAATTGCCAAAAATAAATGTTGTTTTAATTGTAAAATACATTTGTAAAGTACAATTGTCAGTATATATTGTTTTTTGTTGTTCTGAAATTAATGAACAAAAAAAAACATTTATTGGAAATAAAAGAATACATAATTATAATATATGCAATAATAATAATATAATTACTAATTAAATAATGATTTTTATTTCTGATGAGTGAGGTCTTTTATTACACTAATGAGATTTTAGGAGACAATATTCGTAATAGTAATGAAAATACCATCACTATGCAATTAAATAGATAAATAAACAAGGGACTGCAATAATTAATTGTCATTATTATTAAATAAATTCTTTCTTTTAGGTTTTTTTTTTCTTTAGATTTTAAAAGAAGGGTGTATTATTGCAATGGTGCCTGAAATATGGAGGGTTAAGCAAAAGATTGTAGTATCATCAAGCTCATTTTTCTATCTATCAGCAGAGGGTTACTGATAATGCATTTTCACTGTTTCTCACCCAGCGTGGCGTGTCTCAAGAGGACTTCATCCGTGGCAGCAGGGACCAGAACGTCAGGGACGTCGTTTATGACATTGCCAGCCAAGCCCATGTCCATCTCCAGCACGTATGCAAATCCTTTCAGTTTAATATCTGTAGTCAGATATTGACTGTGTTGTATATTCCCCAGTAATTTTCTATTTGCATACTAACTTCATGAGTTTTCACAAGCGATATCACCCCTCCTCCACCTGCAGCTCTGATGACCCTTGATTGCTGTCATCTCCTCATTACTGAATTTATTAAAAGTCCCGTGTAACCACAGGGAATATCTCGAGGAAATGCTAATCAGAGATTTCATAGGATATTGCTTACCCCACTTTGCATATCTGGTCAGGTGGAATGAATCAAGGTTAGCGTCGAAATGACCTAGGTGAGGACCACATTTGAAAAAAAAATTATAACCAAACAAGGGCCAAACTTAAATTTGATACTTTTAATCTAAAATTTGATGAAATTGTGTTAAATTTTTTGAGTGAGTCATGAAAACATTTCACCCCGCCAAATTACAATATTTTTGCAATGTGAGATTATTTTTGTGACAGTTAAGCACGATTCCCCCTATAATACTGAAATGCATTCAGATGTTGAACTGTTTTTTGTGATTCCTATTATTCTTGATGGTGATTCTCATAACTGTAATATAGGCCTGTCGCAATAATCAATATATCTACTTATCGCGCAATATATATATACATGACCTCAATCATTTTTGGTGACGCAATATATCGCCCATT